ATAAATTCTACTTGATTTGATCTGATATTTCCGAAGAAAAACACAGAAAAATATTTTTTTAAAGCGTGGAAACCACAGGGTCAGTCAAAGGCTCGGCTTTCCTGCTGTGTCTTGTGGAGTTTAATGAGGAAATATTTTATTTTAAGAGCACAATGGACAGTTTGAAACAGGGCGATGCCAAACTGGGTGTGGGGGTAGTTAATTTTAGGAGGGGCATTACGACACTGGCTGTCCGGCTCACATTTGGCGAGTGGCGGCGCTTCTCTTGGATCCTGTTTCAGGTTCTTAATGTGAGAATTTACTGCCTCTGTTTGTTTTACATTAAAGCAAATGGATTTGTTTCACTTTTCTGGTGTTTGACAGACAATTAATCGATTGATGAAGACAATAATGGATAGGAACGGTGCAGCCCTGATAAGTTTAAGTTCTTTCTAGAGAAGTCACAGATTAGACCTGTGTGATGGGATTTAAAGAGTCTGAAGCAGAGTGGGTTTGGGTTTTCCTGTGTGAGTTAACCAGGAAACAACAGCCTGTGTCTGTGTGGTGAACTCACGGTGACTCCTGTCTGTCCTCAGCTGGAGGTCCCCGGCCTCAGCTCGGCCTCCATGCTGGAGGTCGGTCCGGTCGGCCTGAGCTTCGAGCTGCCCAAGCTCACCGTCACGGGGCTGCAGATCCGCTTCCTGCGCCTGTCCCCCGTCCAGCCGGGCCCGTCGCAGCGCTGGGTCCGATACGTCACGCACTCCGACTCCTACACCATCAGGATTTAACCCCAGTCACCTCCCGGCCTGACCGCCCATCAGTTTCATGATGGGAGGAAGTAGATTTCACAATAAGATGTACAAACTGTAAATGTTTTATTACGTATCGACTGTATTTATTTCTGTTCTCTGCAGATTTATTACTCCGCAGGAAGCAACCAGTGTGCTGGTTTTAATTAGATGATCAGTCTCGTGACGTTCTGTATTTCTCTTCATGTCTACAAATCCATGTTCAGACTTTTCATTATTCATTATTCATCTCTCCCCCGTCCGCCATCACGTAGAAATGCTGCCGGCTGAGGAACACGAGTGCTGTTTGTATGTTTGTTATGTTTGTTATGATTATTGATCATTTTAAAATCATTCTTTATGGTCAGAGCTGCCTGTGTGGAGATCTACACACAGTGTAACAGAATACAGTCACATGATGTGTGTGATAAATAATCTACAGGATCATTTAATCTCAGACTGTTGTTTGGTTTATTTTACACTACAGTCCACAAACACATTGTTACGCAGCTCTGTGGGGTTTTATTGTGCAGATAATAATAATATAATAACCTTTTTCCTTAAGGGACCTTGTCACCATTCAATAAACCGACTCAGTGATTTTATGGATATTTCATATTAAATTAAAACTGTACAATGAACACAAACAGTGCACTGCAGGAAGTTTGTGTAAAAGCAGAGATTTGGATGAAATTTTGAGGCAGATTATTTCCTACTTTTTATACAATTCTGTCTGAATTATGTTTTTATTACAACTTTTAACCATCAAACATATTTAACAGGATTCTTCTCCCTGACACTTGTTCTGTTAGACAGTTTACATTCCCACCCCAGGCTGGGAACCACTACTATAAGTAATCACTGATACACACATAAATGAGAAATATAAAATGTTTAACATGTCATAAACAGGTTACAGATCTAAATGAACATTGTAAGGTCTGAAAATGTTCTGTGCTCATACAGCTGTTACAGCTGTTACAGTTGTATAAAAATGTATATAAATGGAATAAAACTCACCTAAAACAGTACTAATATCATGTTACTGTAATATTAGAATACGTTCTACTGTATTTAACACAGTAAAGTTCTAACTACCACAGCTGACACTTTTTTACTTTTACAGTGTGCATATGTTGGGGACTATTTTCAGCGGCGGATGAATCCACATTTGGTGCTTTAGTGTGTATTTAAGTGTTTCTCAGATGGGGCTCAGGCACATGCATCATTTCTAAACTAATTATATAATAAGTTCAATAAGAAAAAGGAAATGTAAGTTTGATAATCACATTAATCAATATTTATGTTTTCAATACATTCTTTAAACAGCTGAAAACAGAAAAAGTGAAAAATAAAACAAACTGAGCCAACGTCGGATTTAAACGTCCATTTTGTATTTTGAAGATGTCAGAAATGGATTCAACGTCCTCAATAAACCCAAAACCAATCAGCTGCTGAGATATCGTCAATACAGCTGATTATTGATGCTAATGATGCTCATTGTCCAACAAGTTTCTGACATTAAACTCTGGTGCTCAACAGAAACAGGCTGCTGTGTGTCGGTTTATCACAAGAGACAGATTCACAAACACAGTCAGAACAAACATGTGACCTTGTATCTGACATTAACTGGCACAAACTCTACCAGCAGCTCCAGCAGACCAGTGTCAAATATCAAATATTAAATATCAAATATCAAATATCAAATATTAAATATCAAATATAGTCAGAGTCGACGGGAAGCTTCAAAAGCAGAAACTGACTTCCAACGCTGTCGAGAGGATTCACATTTTTGCTGATTGAATACAATAATTCTTGCTCAACAACCTGTTTCACTTCTCCTTTAGGACTTCTGGCCAACATTTATTCACTCTGTGTGGTTTATTGTGCGGTTTTGAACCTTTTAAAGAACCTTTTAACCTTTTAGAGGTGATAGACCGAGGCAGCGAGGATGACGAGCAGCGATGCAGCGAAAGGAAAGTGAAGGAAGAGGTTAGTGCTCAGTCACAGCTCATTTGAATCACATTTAAATAACTTTGAATTGTTTCTCAGCTCATTGGTTCCTGATGAAGATGGAAAGTTCAGTTTCATGTGTATACACACACACACACTCACACA